GCTGCTGGCAGCCCGTGTGTTTTATAATAAACCTAAAATGTCTAAAAAATAAATCTTGATTGTATAGGCTTTTTCTTTTTACCAATCAATTAGTATTATCAATCATTAATCAAAATATACATGGATTTTAATCATTTGTCATTTAAAATAGCTTTTACCATTGATCGCTGCATGCCCAGTTTGTAGTGTCTTGGACATCTGTCTTACATTCTTAGTGTTAATCTGTTCATAAGTCTTGAGTCATTTTTGTGCATTAATAATATCTTAGCTGATTATTTTTTTTCTCTACATGATATGCCATAACATTAGATCTTGTATTTCAGATTTGAGAGGCCTGATAAGAAGCCGGCTGTTGCTTCCATACAGCCTAATGTTGGAGCTGCGGGATCTAAGAATGGTTTAGGGGAATTCCCGTTGGATCCATTCTCAGGAATGGTAAGTTTAAATGAAATTCAGTCTCTGGTATTTATGCACTGAAAGTAAAAAATTTTATAATTCCAAATATTTTATCATTTTATTTGTTTAGTTTTATTTACATACAAGTGATTACGATAGTAAAATATTCTGTTTATTTAAACAAAATAAGTATGCATGGCCCATGTTATTTCTCATTGAATAAAAAATATTGTGAATAAATAAGTAAAATATAAACACTCCAGGACATATTAACATGCTATTTTCAAAAGTTGTATTAGTCACTGTATACATATTTTATCAAAACATTAAATAAATACAGTATTGAATCACTATAGTGAGTCATTATGTTTCCTCACAGTAAGTGAAATCCGTCCCACAACATAAGCATAAACAGCTTCGAAAACAGCCAAAAATACTGTTTGTGAAGATAATTTTTCTTGTTCCCCATGAAATTTCACAATTTGTTCCCATGACATTTAGTGACGTCTTGACCTTGTAAGAAATATTATGTCATGTTTGATATTTTTTGAATTGAGTAATCATATCCTTATTGTGTGTGGTGGACTTGAGTTACTAGGCAAAAGAAACCAATTGTCCAATAAGATCGCATAGTTTTTTTACATCATCTGCCGAGTAAAACTTTTCCAAATTCCACCACAAGAGTACAGCTTTGCAAATGCTTATTCAGGGCCACTTGCTCAAAGCTGTTTGCTCTTGTGTGTGGCAGGCTTTGACAACTTTGTAAGTTGTTATTCTTAGCCGTTCATGAAGCATGAAGTAAACAAGAGCGACTGCTCACCGGTCTGCACGTTCCTCCACACGCTTAAATACGCTACAGGTGTAAGTTATTATTAAGTTTTTTAGGTAATAAGAGCTAATAAGATAGAAATTTTGAAATAATTATAATGTTTATTGGTACAAAAAAAATATTGTTTAGAATGTTCATTTGTACAAAATTAAAATATCTTAAAATTGAAAAAATAAAATTTCTTAGAATTGGAAAAAAAAAGTTGAATACCAAGACGCGATTCGAACTCACAACCTTAAGTTCTTAGAACCCATGCTTAAATGTTCGTGCCATCCATGCAACGTGCCCTGTTAGTGGTAATGGCAGTAATGTACAGTCCTTGCAGAAAACCCTATTTTGTTTTGTAGGTGTAGGGTGAACCTTGGGGTCCAACTTAAAAAAAGGGCGATGAACGTTTGTTGGAAGTTATCTCTAGTTTATGTGTACAAAATTCCAGCACGTCCGTTCAAAACTGGTGATGCTGGATGCTTTTAAAGTTCTGGTAACAAGAACAAGAACAGCAGTGAGGCTCTGGGGTCAGCGCCTTGTCCCAAAAATTTAGGACCAATGAAAACAACATCTTTGCATTAAGATCAGTGGCGTATCTGGGTGGGGGGGGGGTGCGCAGGGGCCACGCCCCTCCAAAAATAACTTGCGCCACCACAGTCGCCCTCCCAAAAATCATTTGCAAGTAGTTAAAAATCACCTAAAATCACCTTATTTTGAGAGTTAGCGCCCCTAAACTGATCATCGAGTCCCCACTTCCCCTTCACGCCCCCATCAGTACCCCCATTTCAAGACTTCTAGATACGCCACTGATTAAGATTTCACCTGCGTCGTAAGACACCGTGCGAACCATCAGTAAAAACGATAGATTGCCCGCGTCATCGCATTGCGTTCCTTATAGAATCGTGTCAGCCGACGACCTTCGGATGCAGCGAGTGCCCGGCTTTATAGAAAAGGAAGAGAGTCTACTTTGTTCATTTCGCACACGACTAAAATTTACCGCCCAATTCCGCAACTGCCAGAAGGTGCCCGCTGTAATCTCATAATGATATTTCTTGATGGTTTGTTTTGCTTTTTTGTTTTCCACACAGTGCAATTATAATTGATAATAAAACACTTATTACCACTTACAAGTTGCAGTGGGTTCACTTGCATAACGGTACTTCACACAGACCTCTAGTATCTGGTGTTAAACTTTAAAATACAAGAAAGACTCTTATTGCTTAAGCCTGGTACTCATTGTGTCTTGCGACGATCAAAAGACTGTCGTAAGATGAACCGAACTCTACTTCCTGTGAGTGCTAGACAACACGATGCTGTCTACTGATTTTCAGTGACAGTCTGCGGCTATGTCCTCACACGGCTGCTAACGGTTAACAGGATTTGGATTCTACTAACCGTTAGCTGCCGTGCATCCATACAAGAAAATCCCGATCCGGATACCAAAAATATGATGATCGAATAACTGGCCAATAAGAAACTGGAAATTGTAAACATGTACGTGTGATTGGTTGATGATAAAACGCGCTCAACTTGCTAACCGATAGTGCTTGCTAACTGTTAGCGGTATCCGGATACTGCTAACGGATAGCGCAAACCGATCCGGATACTAGGGCTCTCATGAGAACCAGGCTACTATGGTTTTTCTTTAAATGCAAACCATTGCATACCCATAATACTAAAATACTGTCCATGATTTTATTTGTAAATTTTTGACTTTTAACAGACCAGGTTTCAGTGCACAATTTTTTATAATGTTTTAGAACTGTTTTATTCGTTAATAAACCAAATACAATGGATGTTACCATATCCACTGTTCTATGCATTATACTCTGTGGATTTAGGTGAAAGAAGTGGTTTTGTGTTACATGAAAATATTTTTCTTTATTTCAAAATACCTAATCATATTACTAGATTACAGTATAATTATATGAACAAAAAATGAATGAACAGGAATTAAAGAAATGATTAGAAATTAAAAGTAAACCTTAACTGAAGATTTTATTTGTATATAATACATACATTTTGACTTCGAATATAAACCTTTTATAAAATATGAAACCATTTTTGTGATTGCATGCAATAACAAAGTCAGTCAAACGTGACCATAATGTCAGGCCCCGGAACATATTACCATACAGAATTTAATTTAATTTTCTTTAACTGGATTTTACTATCAAACATGTAAAAATCATGCGTGTACACTATGTAATAAAATATTAAATAACTATATTCTAATAAAATTTACATCTTTTAGAATTAAAAAGCGAAAAGATGTAATATGATTTGTATCTGTAACACTCATAATTGGGATTAATTAATAAATATGAATTAGTAGAAAAGTATGACAATGTTTGGAAGTGATTTTTGTTTTTATGATTTCATCAATTTGTATGTCAATAATATTGTTTCCATTCATGACTATCGTATTCAGGTTTATTACACATGGAGCATTACATCCATAAATTGTTTGCAGGGAAGGAAGATCTGCATCTGATTATGCTTAGTACCATGCCATTACTTGTCAGCTCTATCTCTTTCTCGCTCAAGAAAAACACTGTCATTGTTCAGTATATTCTCGCTCTCATTATACATACTGAGTTGAGGCATGTGTAACAAATATGAAAAATAACAAGCATGAACAAATTTGTAGAATGGTTGAGCTGTTGACTAATGGCATATGAAGTGTATATCTAATAAGCCAAGTCCAATTGTGTCGTAGTAATCATAACTAACCCTTAAAACTAAAGCATAATTCACAACATATGGTGCTACTGTTTTTTCCCTAAATTTATATTACATTTTTGTGCTACTTATCGTTTTTTTATGAAATCCAGTTTTTTTTCATTTGTTAGGTATTTAAGAGTAAAATAACACTTTTGAAGATTAAAGGATAATCTAAAAACTAAAAATCTGGGTTGTAATTTATCAAACTTGGCTTATAAATTTCTTAAGTCAAAAACTATGCATTTATAAAGGCTCGCAAGAAAATAACAGGTGAAAATTGAATGTAAAAAGTACAAAGAGGTGTTCATATACTTATGTTATGAAAATTATGACTTGAATTGACCAAAAAAATGTTATTAATTTTAAAGCCACCTATTACATACAACCAATAGATTATGCGTATCCTAATATAAAGCAGATTATGGCCCTTGAAAACGTGTGTGGGCGGCCTAATTAATATTGTGTGTATTTCTAGGCCACGGATTTTAATACTGTAGGCTTTATTGCTAAGCCAAATATACAACGAATAATTATATATTTTTGGGTTTATACATTGACATTTACGTGAGCACTCTAGCTGGATTAAGCTGTGCCTTACAGTTTGCCCTATAGTCTTTTCCGTAAGTCTTGTTAGTGTGAGCAGGACTAAAAAAATATCTTTGATGCAACATTTTGAATTTATTTCATTTGTGAAATACTTTGTTGGATATTCAAAATTATTCCTGGTTTACTTACAGTAATGCTAAATTTTCTGTGTCAAGGGATGCAGCACGTTCAGATATTTTTTTTAGTGTTGTGTTGTGAGCCTAATGCACTCAGAAATGTTAATATCTACCGTGAGTGCTTAAGATGAAATTTGTTATCTTACCGTAAGTAAGGTATTTTGTCAAGCCAAGCTCCGGAGGAAAACATTTTTTATATGTTGTACAACTGATTTTTTTTAAGACACCTTAAGAAGGTTGTTTCCAACATTTTCCCCAGTTTATAGTATTCAAAATTCTGTATCTCACTAACTGTTCCCAAGTTTTTTGTCAAACACCTTTTTTGTATCTTAGAAAATTCAGTCGTACAACATATCAGAAATTGTCTTCCTCTGGAGCCTTGCTTTAAAGGCTGAATTTAAGCAACTACTTTCTCTAGGTAAGATTGATGAATCTGGCTTAAGCAAATTCTGGAATTAATGCTTTGGGCAAGTAAAGAGCAAGATTGATATATCTGGCCCTGGCTTAGCACTTGCTACTTCCAAAAATTGAATTACTCTAAATGGGAAGAGTAAAAGACTGCTCATTCCCACAATTATTAATGAGTAAATTGACTTTTTAGACAGTGTAATCAATCATCATTATTATCATCATTACCATGATCTTCATCATCACCATCATCATAATCATTATCATCCTTTTTATTATCATTTCCTCATCATTATCATCATCATTATTATCCTCATCATCATCATTATCATAACCATCATTATTAAAGCCCCATTCCTGGCAAAATT